TGTGTGTGTGTGTGTGTGCGTGCGTGCGTGTGTGTGACTCAAGTAATTTCCTAGACTTTTCTCTCCTCCTTCCCTTCCACTTCTTTCTCTCGTCATCTTTCCATGCTTGTCTGCGAGCCTCCTTTCATCCTCTGTTGATGAGTCGTCAAAACAAGCTGAGAGAGGCCGAGATGAAATGTGACAGGATTACAATAATCTAATTACCTAAATTAATAAAATGAATCCCATCTAATTAGCTGTAAATGCACAATTATGTCATTTCTCAAGATTGGTTATATTGCCTGAGCAGAAATATTTGTCTGCAGAGGAGACATGACTTGCATCATAATATCACTGAAAACATCTCACTGCTTACTTAGAATAACAGCTCCTATGATGGGTAAAGATATCCAACGATACAGTCTTCAAATGACAGCCCGCAAATTGGAACAAATTATTTTTCCTTTGGTTTTAGAAATCAGACAACACTGTAATTTAAACACAGACTGAACATAATTCATTAATTTAGCTGCTATACTGCATATTTCTTGCTCTAATTTCACACTTCAAAATGAAGCTTCCCAACACCATTAATGAATATGTCCTCTAAAAGAGCAACGGGTTCACATCCACACTGCGTGGGCAGCTGCTCTGCCATTACAAGGTGCTCTGGTTTCTTTGTCACTGCAGTTGGATGACATGATAATTAATAGAAACCCAAGTATTCGCAGATTTAGAAAATAAAATACCCAAACCTAGCCTCTTTCACAGAATATTAGACACAGTGTGGAGCTCCTGATTTATCTCTTTCATAAAATGAAAAACATCCAGCATGAAAGTGGATTAGCTGGATTATATAAATCCTGTGGACATTAACTCTCAGAAAGTGAGGAAGTGTAGAGCTCAGGCTGTTAATGATGTCCATGAAACGCATCCATGAGCTGCTCCATTATCACTGAACTAGAGAATGAATTTGAGGACACAGTGACCGGACATGACATGTGATTTTCTGCAGTAGATGTGAGCACATTTTCTGCTTTAACACACATGAAATTTTACTCAATTATAACATTTCAGCAGGTGTTAGAGCACAAACAGAAATCACATAAATCCAAAAGCTACCAGTTAACTTTCAGCTTCAGGGTTTGTCCTTTTTCTCTCCCACCTAACTCGGGGAGTCTTAATAATTTATACAAATATTGATTAGGTGGTATAATTTATATATTTCTCTTTTGGTATGATGGATTTTTCTTTTCAGCTACAGAGCTTAACAAGAAAAAAAAATCAAGATTCACAGTCTCACCTGGCCATCCTTAAAGCAATGTTCTAAAGAGAACAGATAAATTGCTGCAGTAAGCTCACAGCCACTTGAATGCAAACTGTCCACACATTTCTGTGTGTTGAGGAGAGAGAAAAAGTGCCACCTATTGACACTATTAATGAACCAACTGCCAATCACTGCAGATAAACCCTTTCTCTTATTCCACAACTGTGTCTAATATCTCACTCTGCTCCTCCTGTCTGTAATTAGACAAGTGAGATGATTTAATTTGCTGCAGAGGAGACACAGCTACGTGGACTGCTGATATGTGGAAAAGCCACCTGCACACTGGGTGATAATGGCTTGCACGCGCATACAGAGAGAAGAATTAAATCACAGCTTTTAGCCTGTCTCACCTCCGGGCTCTTGTGATCAGCATCTTAAAGCAGGAGCCAGCAAACCATTTTCTCTTGTAAGCCCTTGAGATGGTTAAAAAAAAAAGAAGGTCTCCCTCCTCAGTTTTCTCCATGTGAGCTGCCAATGGGAGCCCTGCATCGCCTGCTGCTTGAGGACAGACTTATTTCTCACATCCTTGCACTCGCTGTATGGGCGAACACTTTGGAAGTTGCCTTGTCCTTTGTTTTGCCTTATGTCTATGTCAGCTACTGCGAGTTCAAACTTTCATTTTGTCCTCCACTTGCCCTGGAGGGGCTGTTATTTCAACTCAAAGATGATCAAGTGGTGTTATGTGTCCCTGACAGGTCTCAGCATGGATGTGGAGGATGATCCGCCGCTGTTTCAGACCAGCTGGGGAGGGGAGGAGGAGGAGGAGGAGGAAGATGAGGAGGAGGGAGAGGATGGAGAAGCACAGGCAGCAGGACGGAGGTGTTTCTCTGGGGATGCTGGGGTGTGTGGAGTGTGGAGGATGGTGGGATGGGTTTACACACAGCCATGGTCCAGTGGAGTGGTTTTAGGGGTAGTTGTCCTGCTGCCATGTGCCCTGTTTGCCTACATGCTCCTCTACTGCCCTCGCCTGGACATAGACCTCTCCTACAGTGCCTTCGAGGTTCACAGTCACTTCTCGGCCGAGCGCTTTGATGCCCTCGCCATTGCTGTGAAGACTCAGCTGGGATCCTGGGACAGACGTAGGCGAGATGTAGATAACAGCGAGTCTGAGGCCCTGCGGGAGCTGCTGCTGCAGGGACTGGGCAGACAGGCAGCATTCGACAGGATAGATAACGAGGGCATGAGGTCCTCCAGTCCTCAAAATGACCCTTCACAAGCAGGAAATTACCTGAAGAGAGGAGATAAAATGAGTAGAGATAATAGGAGAATACCTGATTTGGTTCAGGAGGGAAAGAGGGAGCACAAAAGCTCAAATGACACAGCAGAGGAGGATAAGGAAAGGTCACAGGACAGAAAATCCACTTTGCCGCTCATTAGGAAGCGCAGGTTTTCTCCCAACTACTACTTGCAGAGTCAGGCCCTTTCAAGGATCGAGCTGGTGTTCGTAGCTCAAGGTGAGGGTGACCGCAACATCTTCACCCCAGAACGTCTGCACACCATTCACCACGTGGAGCGTCTGCTCATGCAGCACCCTCAGTTCCATCAGTTCTGCTGGAAGCCTCTGGAGGTGCTGAGGGATCTACCACTGGGGCCCTCCTACTGCTCCCCACCCAGCTCCCTGCTGTCCTACCTCTACCCCAGTGAGAGAGGAGGGAAGATATATTACGATGGCATGGGCCCAGACCTGGCTGATATTCAAGGTGAGGAACTTTAGGGGGGAAATTGAATTTTCCAAGCAGTACCTTTAAGAACCTAACTGTACTGACTTGCTGTGCTGTTTACAGGGTCCCTGAGTCTGGCCATCACCCACCCACAGTTCTACTGGTACGTGGATGAGAGTCTGTCCCCTGAGCACCTCTCCTCCTCTCTCTTACGCAGCGAGATCCACTTCGGAGCTCCTCTGCCATCGTACTTCTCCCTGCAGGACAGAGCAGACGAGCAGAGGACACGCTTCAAAAACTTTGTGGTTCAGTACGCAGACATCCTCGCCAAGCAATCCACCAGGTCAGGAAAACTATCAGCTCATTACTTTCCTGTTTTTATTTTGCTGTGCTCTGTGTTCATGTACTACACATTGTTGCGTAGAGTCATAATTTAATGTGACTGTTTATCTGCTGTCCTTGTCTCAGCCAGGTGAAGGTGCTGTACGGAGGCACAGAGCTGTTCGATGATGAGGTGAGACACACCTTCTACAACGACATGATGCTGGCTGTCATCAGTGGAGCCTGCATCACTGTGCTCGTCTATGTCCTCACCTCCTTTTCTGGTACAGTAGGACCAGTTTCTTATTCCTTTTGAATTGATTTGTACATTTAAATTAGATTCAGTCTGATTTTTGTACTTAATGTGAAAGTTGATGAGCTTCTTTCCTCGTCTCTCTGTAGTCTTTCTGACTTTCTTCGGGCTGGCCAGCATTGGACTGAGCTGTTTGATGGCTCTTTTCTTATACCATGTCGTCTTTGGTGTGAGGTACCTGGGCATTCTCAATGGAGTGGCAGCTTTTGTTATTATAGGGATTGGTAAGAGAAAATAAATACACTTTTTTCCTCCACCCATCCACCCATCCATCCATCCACTCATCCACTCATCCACTCATCCACTCATCCACCCATCCACCCATCCACCCATCCACCCATCCATCCATCCATTCATTCATCCTGCTTATCCTTTTGAGAGTTGCACAGGGCCGACATATAAAAACCAGTCTGCATGTCTTTGGACTGTGGGAGGAAGCCAGAGCACTTGGAGAGAACCCACACAGAAAGACCCTGAACTGGGATTTGAACTGGGAACCCTTGGCTATGAGGCAACAGCAACCTCACAGTGGTGCGACAGCAGCATGGCGCATAATTAGAACCATGTCCATTTTAATATAACACATTTAGTGGATTGTGTGGAGGTGGAGGTGCATAAGGCCCAGCATGTACTGGCTGGGCCATATGCTTTGCAGATGTGTTACTAATGATCACACATGTCACACATTATTTCTTGAAGTGCGGCAAACATCATTTTTTTTATTTTCATTAGGCAAAATTCCCTTCACTTCATTAGTTCGACACTCAGACAGTTGCTGCCATCTTTACGTCTCTGATAGCTCATTTGTTTTCTCATCATCTCCCAGGGGTGGATGATGTATTTGTGTTCATCAGCACCTTCAGACAAGCGTCTCATCTGCGTCACCCGCAGCAGAGAATGATCTACACCATTAAAACAGCTGGCCGAGCCACATTCCTCACCTCCTTCACCACTGCAGCTGCATACGCTGCTAACACCTTCTCTCAGGTAACCCTAGAAGAAACAGTCAGCCATTAATAGAATCTGTGCAGGAAGAATAAATGACTCTCCAGTTATGGATGAATAGAAGCGCTTCTCTCAGCAGACAGGCTTTTTAATGTGATAAGCTCAAATTGAATGTTTCAAGGTCCTTTACACTGTACTGCTTTTAACCGACACTCAGATCCCAGCCGTGCATGACTTCGGTCTATTTATGGCCCTCATTGTGAGCTGCTGCTGGCTCTGGGTGTCCGCCCTCATGCCAGCCGCACTGTGCATCTGGACTCAGTGTGTGGAGCCCCACGAACACGCCTGGCTAAACTGGTGAGCCCCATTTTTTGTGTGAGCTGTTATTTGTGCATGCTGCGTGACACCACGGCCAAGTTGTAATCCCTTGAGCTGTCTTTCTCTGAACTTCCTCCTCCCTCTGAAGCTGGAAGTTGTTTTCATGCCTGTCAGCCAGCCAGAGCCCTTTGTCGGATGAGGATGATGATGTGGCACTTCTGTCGGTGGAGCTGGAGCCAGGTGAGATTATTATCTCCCCAGCATTGTGCGAATGCCGGGGGGGAGAATGGGGAAAGGGAATGAGTCCAGGCTGTAAAATGCTCCTGTCCAGGCACCACTAAAGCCCCTTCTCTTCGTCTCGGCCAGGCTCCTGTGACACAGATGGCGACGCAGCCATTCTGTCCCTGTCAGTGGAGACACCTCTGTCCCCTCCAGGACAGCAGCATGTGGGTGTGGTGAGCATGAACCTCCAGTGGGCCCTGAAGCATTTAGTGGCAGAGCCAGCTGTGGAGCGACGAAAAGCTGTTCTAGGTGAGATTTGATATAAACCCTGAGAACTCACAAGGATCCTGACACAGCTGAGCTCAGTTTATACTTTGAAAATATCTAATGAAATTCTATAGTTTAGTTTTCTCACATATTGTCTGTAGAGTTTGACACAAATGATTTTGACTTGAGAGGAACCTCAAGCTTGAATGAGAACTATTGAGGAAATGCTGTAATCTCCATTTGTCTCGAGGGGATAAAGTCTGTCAGAGGAAGAGTAAGCATCTCTCATGAAGTATTCATCCACCCTCTTCAGGAGGGACTGTAATTGATCCTTGCTGCTGATCTGTTCCTTAGTTGCTTTATCAATTCCATCACACCCTCCTCTCTCCCATTGTTTGTCACTATCTTCCTGCCCAGGTGTCTTCCTCCTGATTCTGCTGTTATCTGCCGGGTGCTGCTGTCTCCTGAGGCCGGCCACTCACGCACCTCTGCTTTTCCGCCCCGACACAAACCTCCAGACTCTGCTGGCTCTGAGGAGCAACCTCAGCGGTCAAGGCATCTCCTGCCCCCGGTGCTCAGGTGAGACCGAGTCCCCACTTAACTTCAAAAATCCAATCCAAGTATCTCACATGCATTCTGTGTTCCGCAGGTGTGTTCATGGAGAAGCCCCACTCTTTATACAGCCACAATTCCTTATCGGCATTTAAGATTTCTACGCATCAGCAAACTCCGAGCTCGACAACCTCAAATGCTCCTCGTACCTCGGTAAAACCCAGTTCAGGCACAAACCAAACAGGTAGAGCATCCCTCCCATAAAAAACAATCCTCCTTTTTATTTAAAGCCCCCACCACCACTCTGAAATATTTCACTTTTACTGTTTTTAGGCTCTATCCTGACAGTGTATATATCAAAGCTGGACCTTGGAACCTCTGCAACCATTTATCGTTTCTCCCTTAACACCAGCACTCCCTCCCCATGGAAACTATGCAGCACAGAGCATGACCAGGTTTCATCATTTCAGGTCTGGGAACTGAAAAGATTCACTTGATGATATTTTTATTATTAGTTGTAGAGTTTGGTCTCTGATGTGCATCTTAATCTTGTTTTATCTGAATAGGCTTATAGTCAGCCCCACAGCAATTACACCAGCAGAATGACAGTGTGTGTTTCCCATGTGTACCACCCGTACCCCAGCTGGATGATCACATCTGGCTCATGCCAGCACAGTCATGGCTGGTCGCCAGAGTTTTCGTTTTATGTAGCAGCGTCTCCGCAGCAGCAGCAGCACAGCAGGTGAAGCCACAAAAGAAGAAAAGTCAAAGTAAATGTTGGATGGAGTGTTGTTTCAGTGGGGTATCCGTCACTGCAGCTCTGCTCTCTCCTCTCAGAAGGCTATACTTTGCACAGCAGCGCCTGAGACCTCATCCCAGCCGAGTGTGTGTCGACCCTCCTGGCTGCGGCATCGGCTCTGGGCCTGATGGACCCACACAGGGAGTCTTTTATCCTCCTCTTTCCAGTGGTGAGTGAGGAATTGTCAATGTCAGAGATCATCGTTAACATAGAGACAGTTTGTCGGCCCACCACGCACACTGCTAAAATTACTTTTTATGTGATTTATCTGCAGGTTGAAAATAGAGAAAATGCAGTGATATAACTTATTTTTTCAAATACAGCTTAAAGTTGCAGTCTCTGAACCCACTACAGGATTTTTCCACAGTACTCCAGTTGTAGATATTTTTACACTGTATAAATAAATACCCTTGTGAGATTTCTCTTTGGTTCTATTTCCAAAGGTTCCTCAGCTGCTTCCAAAGCGAAACCATCCAAAACATTTGGCTTTAACCCGTGCAGCGGGGGTGTGTGTGGCCACCCAGCAGTGCGTCCTCTGGTTGACACCGGGGCCATGGTTTTTGTCGTGTTTGGTATCCTGGGAGTCAACCGCACTGAGCCCAAGGACAACCATGTTATTGGAGATATGGTGAGGGCCATTATTCATCAACAGAAATATTGAAGAGCCATATTTGAAAAGATTTTCTAATGGTGTTGATATATATTATTTTCTTCAAAGGGCAGCATCATATTGGATCCAGACTTTGATATTTTCCAGGAGATGGGGCATCTGTGCAAAATCTGTAAAGCTGTCAGTGCAAACACACAACTAGTGAAGCCAGGAGGAGCACAGTGTCTGCCTTCAGGTAACAACTAACTGAAATCCTATCACATAAAATAATGATATGAAATAACATAGTAAAATAAACTTTAGTGGTTCAGTCATGTTTAAATCAAAAGCACTAGCTACTCAAAAAGAATATCAGCAGGTTTTTATTATTCTTTTAATAGTAAAATGTATATACTTTATGTGGTGTCATTTGAAGATGTCATTCTTGAGTTTGAGAACTTATGTTGGACATTTTCCACTTTGCAATATAATATTAGGGTCTTATGAAGAATTTTTTTATGTAGATTACAATAAATAAAGTCACAATATATGAGAAGAAAGAAAAGATGATTTTTTTGGGGGAAATAAGCTACAGGGAGATACTGTGCTCGCTTCCACTTCCTTTTGATCCAAGAACCAATCTCATTGTTTCTGGAGAAACTACGAAACCCTTTGAAGATCACGCAGACTGCAGTCGACCATGGCCAAACATTTCCTCCTCTGCAAAAGAGGCAATTTCCTGTAAATCTGTTTGGTTCTTTCTTCAGAATAGCCTCAGTTTCTTGCATAATCTTTTCAAATTGCTGATACTTATGATGATGGGGTGCTGAATTCAGTATTTTGTATATTGTTATTATTGAAACTTATACTAAAGTATAACAAAATGCTGAACATTCTTCATTTGAATGCAGGCAACAGGTTGATCTTCTGATATTTCCCGTCTCGTAGCCTTAAGTGGCCCTAATACTCTGCATAATAAAATTCTGAACAAAAAGAAAGGAGATAAATCTACTAAACTGTAACTAAAACAAATCGTACATAGAGGATAAAAGTGCTGAAAAGGCTGTTTCTTGTTGTTCCCTCTGTTCTCTTCAGGCAACAAGCTGTCTTCTATTCTGCCCCTGCTCCACCCTGACTGTCACTCTCTCCCTGAACCCAACCTGCTCCCGGGCCAGCTCTCCCATGGAGCGGTGGGAATGCATGGAGGCAAGGTCCGCTGGCTGTCTATGGCCTTCGAATCTGTAAGGCTCTTCCTCTTTCAGCGCTGCATCTTCACACCTAAGCTGCATGTTTCAGAACTGGTATCGTCCCTAACGTGCTTTTTTCTTTGTCTCCTGAGACCACGTACAAGGGGAAATCCTCCTTTCAGACCTACTCCGACTTCGTTCAGTGGGAGAACTTCATCCAGGAGCAACTTGCCAGCCTCCCGCAGTCATCTGCTCTGCAGCGAGGTTTCCAGACCTGTGAGCACTGGAAGCAGATCTTCATGGAAATCATAGGTAAGTGAGAGGTGGTGTGTCCTGCAAAGGAGATGTTGTCGTCACATCATGATATTTCAAAAAGACCTTGAAGGATTTTGGATACATTTAATGAGTTTTTGATGATCAAAGGTTAAGTACACCCTGGCGTCAAAAAAAAGTTGTACAAACACGAGGCAGTAATTCACATGCCCGTCAAGCTGGAGCGTGACCTTTGATTATGTCATCAGTGACATGGTGTCTTAAACACAGTTACTGTGGTAACAAAAAGTAAAGGGTACATTTAAAAAAAAAAAGCAAAAATGTCCATTTTGTTGTCATGAAAGTAAAAGACGAGACAGATGGACAGAAGATGGAGTGATTTCTCCATTTATTGGTTAGCGTTTGGTTATTGGTTGATGAAATAGTTTTATACAACGGTTCTCTCTGCTCTGTCTGTAGGTGTGGAGAGCGCCCTCTGGAGTTTGCTTCTGTCTTTGGCCATTTGTGTGGCAGCTGTGTCTGTGTTTACTGCTCATCCTCTGCTGCTGCTGCCTGTTCTCATAACCATTCTAGGTAAGAGAGGATGCCGTTTATTCATGCATGTAAGCGACTAAATAAATGATGATGAATTATGGTAATAATAATAAATGGATCATTCATGCCTGTGTTGTGATCGGGTGTGTAACTGTGAGTTTGGGGCCTTGAGCAGGAGTGATCTGTCTGGTGGTGGCCATCATGTACTGGCTGGGCTGGGAGATGGGAGCAGTGGAGGCCATCTCTCTGTCTATCCTCGTGGGATCTTCAGTGGATTACTGTCTGCACCTGGTGGAGGGATACTTGCTGGCTGGGGAGATCATGCCCTCTACGCCTGGTTGTAACTCGGTATGGGAGTGTGAATCAAAATTCGTCTCACAGCAGCAGTCACGAGAAATTAGAAAAACCACCACAGCATGTTTTCTGTTTACACACTAAAACAAGCTAATGATGAACATTTTGGGTTTAATAAGGCAAGAAGCACCCTGAAGGCTGATGAATAAAGAGGAATGGCTCGTCCCATTAATCTGTGTTTTGTTTGCAGCAGCAGCTCCCGACTGAGAGGCAGGCACGGACCCTGGAGGCAGTGAACCATGTGGGCGTTGCCATAGTGTCCAGCGCCGTCACCACGGTTATCTCCACAGTCCCCCTCTTCTTCTGTGTCATTGTGCCTTTCGCCAAGTTTGGCCAGATAGTGGCCATCAACACCGCCGTCTCGATTCTGTTCACCCTGACCGTGACTGTGGCCATGCTGGCGTGCATGGCCCCCGCTCGCTTCAGCAGGCCTCCCAGCGCCGTGCTGAAGGCCTCCCTGGCTGTGATGGCGGCTGCGGCCGTGGCAGCAGCTCTGTGCTGGGTGGGAGGACAGCTGGGTGCATTGGCCTGGCGATCAATCGGCACATAAACGCAACCGTCCGTCAAATCACACTGATGTCAGGCAGAGGAATACCTCTGAACGCAGTACTGTATTTTCCTCCTCATTGAGAAGGAATGTCAGATTACAATCTCACAGCACAAAGATGTCAGAATCAACTCCATCATTAGAAGCAGTTTGTCATCACAAACATTTTTCTTGTATTGATCAGTGGATTGTAAAGTATTGGAGAAAAGCAAACATCTCACCTGCTGAGTATCACTTCTAAAATGTCAAGAGTAAGTGGCTGTGACTCAGTAGTGGGTTGACATGATGATTCAGTCTGAGGTATCGCCCTCGGCTCTGAGGTGGAGATGATGTTGAGTAATCGTAGGGAAACACTGGCTGAGTCACAGTTTTCATCCGTGTAACTTATTGAGTTGTGAAAAGCAGCTGACTGTTCTGTGACCTGCTGTCGTGAAGAACAGGGCGCTGAGCTCTGACGTCCGTGAAGATTAGTGTTCACATGATTCATGGCCATCTTGTGAAACATCACACTCGCCTATTTATTTATTTATTCAATATTTTTGGGGAGTGTTTTCTTACTTGTGCATTGAATGTGATTTTCAGAGCCATATAGAGTTATGGACATCCTGCAGCTGTGTTTGGATTAAAAGTCGCCAAATGTAAACAGTGCAAAGGTTTCAGTGTTTTTTCGATGTCTCAATCTGCTGCTCTCACACTTTCTGAACTAATGCTGCCGGCACAATCTTTTCCAGAGCTGTGTGTGCCAATACTCACCGCAACCATCATCCTCTTCTCTGAACCTTTCACGTGTTTGTATCTAAGATCTCAAACTGCTCAAAGATCTTTTTGTCATCAGCACCAATTGAAAGAGATTTTCTCGTCAGCTCCTCAGGTTCACCCTCCACATGCCCTCCACCCACTTGTAGGCACTCCATGTAACCCATTTTGCTCTCACACAATTTATAGTACCACTCCACCGCCCATCGGTGCTCGCTCCAGTCTGCCCTGCAGTGAGGGCTGTTTTTCAAAACTACAAAACACAATAATGGTTGGAGAGAGGGACTCAGTTGCGGTAAGAGCAGTATATTTCTGTTTTTTGTGTGTGTGTGCGTGCTTTTTGGGAACGTCAAATAAAGCAGGTGCAGAAAGCCTTGGGTCTTTTTCTTTTGTGAAAACTCAGCACTGTTTTCCTCTGCATTGTTACATAATGGAGCGGAGCAGGATGAAGAGCTGTTATTGTTTGCTCACTGTCACATAATTATTGATAGAGCCTCTGTAGTCACATGTCTGGTTAGCTTCCATTAATTATTCATATGGAACAGCTCAGATTTAATATTTAAATTGCCTCTTATGTTGGTTCATCATATTATGTCACATTGCTCTATATGGTAACCTTTCTGTCCGCTGTGAAAACGTAGGAAGATGCAAACAGATATTTTTAATAAAAACAGGAAAACCTCAGTGAACCTTTAATCTGGAGAGTTCTCTGTTCATTTTTTTTACTGGAGCAGCAGCATCACATGTGTTATTGCAGTAAAAACACGTCACTTGCCAGTACATTTGCAGTGTCAGTGGAGCGACTTGTCAGTGGTCCATTTATATCTCTTTTAATGAGAGGTCACGTTTTCTTGCAAACAATCTGCAGCTGGTGTATAAAGCATTATAGGATAAGATGTTTTGAAATAGGGAAATACAGTCGTTTACCTCTGCCAAGGAGGTTATGTTTTCATCTGCCTTTGCTTGTTTTTCAGCAGTGAAAGAGGAGAGAGAGGCGCAAACCAACAGTCGTGTTACCATCATGTTTCAGCTCTGACAGACTATAGTTGTTATAAAGAAAACAATACGAATGATATTTATAGATGTAAAGATGTTATTAATGAAAGCAGCAACAGTTGATATAATAATAATTTTTGTTGTTGTTGTTGTCTGAATCCTGCTGCTCTGGAGGGGAGAGAGATACCTGCAGAGAGAGACTGGGGAGGGGGTGACGTGTGTAAATGATGCTGTTTCGAGTTGAATTAGAACGCAGGGGCTTATGGACACTTAGATGATGCCAGAGGAGCAATATGGAGGCATTTTCTGTTTTGTTTATTTTCTGTTGTTTTTTTAACGTGTGTAGACAGGGTCGCCATTTACTTCAATTATATTGGATTTGGCTGCAATGCTTCACCCACCCCTCCATCTGCATAGTGGTGAGTAGAATTTTAATCTTTTGGTGAAATTTCCTTTTAATGTTCTTGAAACATTCCTAAAGTGATTGGACTCATCAGGCTTCATCAGGCACAGCTGGGTATCATCTGTGTAACAATGAAGTGTATGTGGTGCTTTCTCATGATGTTGCCTAAGGGGAGCATATATAAGGTGAAAAGTATCGGTCCAAGTACAGAACCGTGGGGAACTCCATGACTATCTTTTGTGTACATGGAGGAATCATTGTTAACATTAACAAATTGAAAGTTATCTGATAAGTACAACTTAAAACAGCCCAGTGTTTAATCCCTACACGTTCCAGTGTCTGTAACAAGTCCATTATCTGATGCCATGAAAAGGTCCTTAGTAAATTTGTATTAATTTTTCTGTGACATTTTCCTTAATTTTTCAGAGAATAATTCCTGGATCAGGCATATTTAGGGAAATTATATATAGGGTGTGATTTGGTGCAGATCCAAATAAATCTAGATCTAGTGAATTTAGACGTATTTTCATAAGGTGACAGTTGGGCCTTGGTGGAGTTATGCACTCTAGTGAGTGTCATTCTAGTTTTATCTGTTTATGTCTAAATAGGAGTGTGACTTGAATGTATTACTCTTGACTAAATTGACAGACAACTCTAAAATATGCTGAATAACCTAACAGCCCTTTACCTCGTACCTGCACCTTTCATTTATTCGTGAATGTATGTCTTCACCCAGACTGCAGGTTTATTACATTTGCATGTATATGACAGTCCGTTTTGTTGGGGTAAGCAGAACGACGGGCCCAATTTCAGTAATGCCACGTTGACAGTTTTTGTTGCAACAATAAAACGCCGCTCTGCTCCACATGTTTTTATGAAGAAACGCAACAGAAGAGAAATGGCATAATTGAGGGGGAGCAGGGAACGAATATGTGGCAAAGTAGGAAAAAGGAAACTTGGTCCTATACCGTGCTCTGAAATACAAGCTTCATTTATAGGGAAATACATATATTTCTATTTGGCTTATATAGTAGTTCTTTGTGTTTGCTAGCTGTCAGAAAACTCGTCTGACCTCATTTCAAACACAGACCCATGTGTCAGCCAGTGCTGTTACTGCTACTCCCATGTCCTGGATTGCAATGCAACTCAGCACATGGTTTAACTTAAAATTAAAAAAATAAAAGTAATCAGTTAATCAGACATCAAATGTGTAGCAGACTGCTGCAGTGTCACACAACATTATCCCCACAGCTTAGACTGAGAAAGAAATGCAGAAAAGGAACGAGTGAGCAACATAGTATATTCAACATAAACCAATGGCTATACATGAGAAGGCAATTTTAGGGCTAACGTCAACAGTACCTTTCCACCTTTACATCATACATGTAATTACCATAACAATAAATAGCCAGGCTCATTTGGTTCTTGAGAAATACTTCATTGTACCAAGAAAAAGGCATTTTCTCTGGAGAGAGATTATTTTACATCCGACCTGTAAATCAACACTGAAACATTTAGTCATATCTTTATTACCCCATGTTGCAGGGCACACACAATGTTCAAGTATGCCTGAGGAACTAAACGGAGCAATAAAAAAAAAACAATTAATTATAAGAGAGATAAAATGCATTTTAAAAATAAGTGAACTGGCATTGCATTTCACAAAAATTCATAAGCTCATGATTTTGGAACAATTCTCTGTAAAGTGCTAACTGGTTCGAGCTGAGAAAAGCACATGTTCCCTTTGAAAGATTATACACATGACTTTATACATGGAGGTACAGTAATAGCCAGTCGTCAGGTGAGCAATTACCAACCAGAAGACATGGACCACATTTCTTTTATTAGTCCTTTAATAAGATAACTGCTTCCTTAATTTCCTTGTTAATGGTAACAACGAGAATCTTGCCACTGCATGCCAGGACAATGCCAATTACAAATGCTGGTGTTGCCGCTGTACAAATTTTCCTTCTCTGCTTGTAATTACATGCAATTGACCGACATACAGTATCAAAATCTCAAGTCTTTCTAATCCTCTTACAGACAGGAATCCTTGAACCGAAGGGATGAGAGTGTGAGGAGAGGAGGACAATTACAGAGGAGCGCAGGAGATCTTGCCCAACTCCATCCCTCCTCTCCCTTCTCCTCCCCCCCCACCGGATGTGGTGGTCTGGCCTGACAAAAGCAGGGATCTGTCCAGCTGATGCCTGCCGTCCTGCAGGTCCTGAGAAACCACTGTTTTCCTTGTGTGCCTCTCATTAAGAGGCATGTTTTTTTTAAAAAAAAAGAAGAAACAAATGAAAAAATTATATGGAGGGAACTGGGTCAATAAATTTTCCCCCACTGTCCACCTAAAGTGGACGTCCACCCTCCCACCCCAATCCTAACCGTAAAAAGGTAAAAACAAGGTGTACTGCAGAATGGCTTTACTCCTCACAGTCTGTGGGGGGAGCTAGAGCCCCTAGGAGCTGAGGTGCGGTTGGTGGTCTTGCGGCTGTTCTGTCGTGTCTGATTCATCTTGGTGGCCGAAGGTTTCCGAGCGTCAGGCTGGCGCCTCCCCTGGGGGCCCCTCCGCTTGCCCCTTTGCCCTGCGCGGCCCCTTCCGGCCCCCGCTGGTCACTTGCGCGAGTGCAGTGTGTCCTGAAACTTGGTGCTGGTGTAGCGGACGTGGAATCCTTTTTTGTTGATTGTATCGTCAGAGCGGAACTTGATCACAATGGAGTCACCAGCTGAGTAGATCTCCTCTGGAGGCTGTCAGAGGGGACACAACAACAGGTTCATTTGTGGCTTTCTGGTTCTCTGACTGCACCTCAATTTAAACTAAGCACTTGTCAGAGTCAGATCAGTGACCATGACGAATGGCTTCATCCTACAGAGGACAGCTAGTTCTGTAACAGCCCAGGGGCCACAGGGGACCAGGACTGGCCCTTCTCAGCTTTATTCTGATTCAGGTTTCCACTGCTATTGATGTGAGGATAAAATATTCTCTGATGATGGCTGCACAACTGCAAAGAGCTAATTTATTCAGTGAACAAAACCATATACGCACAGCTTCATGTGTTTCTACTCAGCTAAAGTGTTTCCAGTGAAGCACATGCAGAGTAAACTTGACCTGGCTGTTTGTCGGGATCGTGGTGTCACATGAATATTAATTCATCATAGGGAAAAATAATTAGTCGTTTGAGGTGCTCTGGCAGCTTTCCCGCGGCTACGACAGAGACAAGCACTGCAATGTCAAAGCAGCTGCGGCTCCAGCCACCAACTGTAAATACACCAGACTGTTGATTAAAGCTGCCGTTCATAACATGAATTATATATCTACAATGGCCCATAAGTCTTAGCTTATTTAAAACACAAGAAAAAAGGTCTGTAAATGTTATTGTGGAACTGACAATAACCTGTCGTCTGTTTAACTGAGAAAAAAAGCCCCTGGGCTAAAAGTAAGCTCCCCCACACTCTAATGAGTTTTCACCCTACTTTGGTCTGAATTGTGTCAGTTTATTTCAACCGGTTTTATAAAAGGAAAGTTGATTGAGGAGCCGCTCCCCAGGGTTCTCCGGGTGCAACGTCGCCCTCCAGCGAATGATTCACAGGCACAGACGTGAGTAAATTGCCTTATTACTGAAGTGTGTAAATGAAATCAAGCTGTTCTCTGACCTGAGGAAACTTGTTTCTACTCCCTGCTGCCTACATTGTTCCTGACTCTGCAGCCTCAGCATTGGCTAATTATTTGTATTTACAACCCAGTGCCAGAGATTCTAATAGGCCATCAGCGCCCAGGGAGCAACGGCTTGTGTCGACCTACAGCGACACTCCCCCAACTCGTTGACTTTCATTCAAGTGGAGTAGGAGTGAAATCAAAAGCCCCAGGGTCCTTCAAAGTCATCCCAATACAAACCACTAAGGAAAGGTTACTCCACTGCAAACAATTGTCTCAACTCTCCTGCTGTTAAAACA